CCCCCCCCGATTCCCGTGGGCTCAGGTCCGAGGTGGAGACGGTGGAAGAGGAGAAGCAAAGGTCCAGGAGGGGCGGGGCCGCCTGACGGACGTCCACGGCCACTAAGTGTGCTCGTGTGGGGACCGAGGGTCACCGTGCTCGCTTCCCCCCACTTCCCTACAGACTTGGTTTTCTGTGTCTGAACCGGCCCGTTGGTTATGGCAACTGGGTGAGAAATGGGCTCTCCCCAAAACAGTCAGTTGCCGTGTGATGCTGCTCAGACCTGAGTGCCTGGTCTGGAAATGGGGCAGACGGGCCACCCTGTCGAAGGGACGCTTATGCCCCTCAGACACCCCCCCCACTGCAGAGGCTTGTGAGTAAATATGGCAGCCTCTCCCCCTGCGGGGAGGCCTCTCAGGGGAACCCCTTACCCGCACCAGGCACACCCTCAAGGCGGGTGGAAGGTGCGCTTCCATTCCCAGTGGTAACCTTTCTTTAAAAAGTAATTTATTAACCACCTCCCAATGGCTATTTGTTTAGAGCGCAGTGACCTCGCCCTCACCCAGGGGCAGGGACACGTGGGCATTGGTGCCTCAGAGAGCTGAGGGCGTCTCCCTCAGGGCCTCGTTTGCCTTTGCAGTGGTGAGAGCGGAGGCTGGTGTGCCAGGCCTGTGGAAGAAAGGCAGGCTGTGCCCAGCTGGTCAGACGCAGTGATGGGGGCGGTCCGTCCAGGGCTGTTCACGAGGGTGAAAGCTTGCATCGGACCCAGCGGGTCTGTTGGGCTCTGTTCCCCATTCCATGTTGCTGGGCAGCCTCGGTGCCATGGGCTCAGCTGGCGGGAAGTACCCTGGGGCTGGCTCCCTCTGCCCGGGGAAGGGGCTGCGCTCACGACTTTTACTGGGTACCTGCTACCCTGAGGGGAGTCAGAGGCTCCCAGGCCTCGCCTTCCTCGCAGGCTTAGGCACCTGCCCAGGGCTGGTCTAGGTGACTGTCCTGGCACCAGGCCCCTCTGTGGCCGCCAGGAGGGGCCCCTGGGCCCACTGCACATTCAGCCCTCCCCGGGACCCCAGGTTGGCGTTGCCCAGGTTCTTGCTGTGGCCGGGTTTCAGCTGCCTTCCCTGAGCACTGGGCGGGGCCAGTCTCCCCACCGCACCCAGGTCCTGGCCCAGGCGAAGCTCTCGGGGGTCCTGAGGGCTGGTTGACATTGCCGGGATGAAGACGGGGGAGCAGGGCGGGACAGCTGGCCACTCTAACCCGACTCCCGCTTTCAGAGTATGAGATAGAGAGGTCGTTCTTTCTTCGAATGAAGTGCGTCCTGGCGAAAAGAAACGCGGGCCTGACGTGCAGCGGATACAAGGTACGCGGAGCCGCGGGCGGGTGGGAGGCGTGGAGGAGGTGGCAGCGGGTCTTCACTGTTTTATATTTTGCTTCACAACAAGAACATCTGCAGACAGGAAGGCACGGGGACCCAAACGTTTAGCACTGCCTAACGTAGAACTTTCTAGTGGCGCTGCTCACGAGGCAGGTGTGAGAGCCGGCGTCTTACAAGAATATTCATCCCGTGAGACCAGGACTACACGTGGCTGAGGGTGGAATTTGANCCGTCTTACAAGAATATTCATCCTGTGAGACCAGGACTACACGTGGCTAAGGGTGGAATTTGACCTTGGCACCTGCAGGTCCTGCTCTGCACACAGGTCCGTCTGCCCTGGAGTTCACGGCGAATCCGTGCTCCAGGGCAGGGTCCCAGGCCACAGTGGGTGTTCAGGGGGCGGAACTGTCACCCAGCCTCGGAACGTCCGGCCACGCCCAGTGATAACTNCCGTCTGCCCTGGGGTTCACGGCGAATCCGTGCTCCAGGGCAGGGTCCCAGGCCACAGTGGGTGTTCAGGGGGCGGAACTGTCACCCAGCCTCGGAACGTCCGGCCACGCCCAGTGATAACTGCAGTGCTGCTTGTCACAGTAATAATGCAGCCCGTTCTGAGGGCAAAGTAGGGCTTTCGTCGGCAGCATCTCATCTCATTTAACTAATTAGATAGTCTGACAGGCACCGCAGCCCTGTGAGGGAGTCTGATAGGCCCCGTGCTATGATCAAGGACCCGCTGACCGGCCGAGGGCAGGAAGGCTCAGGGGCAGAGCTGGGGCCTCCACGCACCAGCCCTGCTTCTCCCTGCCCACTTGCTCTACCAGACACGGCCACTTGCTCTGGCTGACTCCAGAATCCAGGAGTCGGTCACCTAAAGAGCCCGAGGGCAATACTGTGCCTCGGCGTGAGAGTCAGCCACTCCCTGAAAGAAGGGCAGGTCGGGGGATGTCCGAGCTGGACACCCCCTTTCACCCTTCCAACCCCTGTCTGGAGCTGAGGGGGATGGGAGCCTTTTTGCAGGAGAATTTGAGTGTTAGGAGAGGAGGGAGGGGTGGGGTGAAGGGAAAGGGGCCGGTCTTGTCTTCTTTCTGGAGGGCCGCCCCCACCCCTCTGCATCCCAGGGGCTGCCTTCCCCTCTGCCCTCTCCTCGGGCCCCTCTTTGGAGCTGAACTCTGATCTCTTGCCTTCGACTTTACCTCACTCCGCTGTATAGTTTGGAGAATACGTTTCGCTCTTTCTTTTTAAATAGTGGAATCTGAGCAAGACTCAATCAACTTATTTATTTTTTCAATCCTTACTCAAGGATATGTTTATTGATTTTTTTTTTTTTAGAAAGAGAGAGAAAGAGCGAGGTGATAGAGAAACATCAATCGGTTGCCTCCCTAAGTGTCCCAACCAGGGATCGAACTGGAAGCCTAGGTGTGTGCCCTGCCCTGGAATCAGACTTGCACCTTCTCGGCGTCGGCGTGTGGGACGGCGCTGAACCAGCGGAGCCACCCTGCCGGGCAGGGATGCGTTTCTTAACTTGCTGTCCCAGACGCTAAAGCCTCTTTGGCCCAGGGGTGGGGAACCCCCAGCACGGTCCTGCACCCCACAGACATTCTTCTGGACACTTGGGTCTTGAATTGTTTCTGCCACTTATTAAACACATCTCCTGGAGGAAGGCTTTTGAAAAGGGCGTTTAAGACTTTAGCTGCTCATCGCTGCTGCTCTGGTGATTGTGATCCTTTCAAGATTTCACTGACTGTAACTTGTATAAACGCTTCCAGTATTGAGGCTTAAGGCTGCGTGAATGTTTCTGTTTGACGTTTGGAACGCTATACGCTTTCTCTTGTGTGGTTTTTGGCTACAACTATTACAAGTGTTTCTATATAGTCACTCCGGCTTTTGCTTATTACAAGGGGATAAAGTCTTGAATTATAAATAAAATATAGTTAGAACGAAGCGTTCTTTCTGAATTCTGGATTTACCGGAGTGATATAGCTTGTCAGGTGATATCAGTGTCAAGTTAGCAGATGTGGAACCCAATCCCACTGGAAGATAAGTGTTATAGCTGCTGAAACGAGCGTTATGGAACAAATGATCGGCTCCCCAGAACGCCTCAGTTGTGCCATCGAACTGAAGCTTGGCGATGAGTTAATTATGTATAAATCCATCCTATATTAGAGAGCCTTAACTCGCGGAGTTACTGGAACATAGTCAGCTGGGGAAGGGAACCCTTCTGTTTCATTATGACATTGTTTCTTAAGAAAGAAGAACAGTTCGTTCCTCCTGAGCAGTGAATCGGGCGGTGGGCCGCGCAGCTCAGTAGCGGCCGGGGCGGGGGACAGTCCAGCACGTTGGAGAAAACGAGCAGCCCAGGGCCGGGGGCAGGGGGTGCCGGTGGCTGACCCTGCCTTCTCTCCCCCAGGTCATCCACTGCAGTGGCTACTTGAAGATCAGGCAGTATATGCTGGACATGTCCCTGTACGACTCGTGCTACCAGATCGTGGGGCTGGTGGCCGTGGGCCAGTCGCTGCCGCCCAGCGCCATCACCGAGATCAAGCTGCACAGTAACATGTTCATGTTCCGGGCCAGCCTTGACCTGAAGCTGATATTCCTGGACTCCAGGTGAGTCTGGCTCCGGCGGCCGCGGCGGGGCTCCGGGAGATACTGATGGGGGAACCGGCCCTGGAAGCTACCCTGTTAAACCGAGATGTAGCAAAGACTAAGTCCTGCTAAGAATGCGCATTAGGGAGGGATTTAGTGAAACCGAGTCGTGAATTGAAAGAATTAACATCAGCCTTAGTACTCAGGCGTGGCCGGCCTCTTCAGCTCACCGGTACCTCAGAAACCTTATTCGTATGTTCGTCTCACTGGAGTTGGAATTGGAAATGTGCTGTGGGCACGGGCCGCCTCTCTCGAAGGCCGCGGTGTCCGGATTCTGCTTCATGTTGCCACCAAGCCAGGGGGACTTGAAAACCCGCAGGTTTCTGCACTGAGCAGTGCTGTAGGAAGCCTCCCGGCTGGCTCCGGGGAAGCCATCTGAGCTGTGACCGCAGGGCTGAGCCTGGGAGCAGACAGGTGGCCTTCCCGGGGGAAGCTGTGACCCACAAGCACTGTCTGCAGCTGGGCTGGAGGGTGAGGCTGCAATGGCCCCAGAACTGTCTCTCCCAATTGTCCTTTCCTGTCCTGCTTGTGATTCTTCCAAGAGAGCAGGGAGACCAGGGAGAAAGAATCACTGATTGTGTGCCCGAGGCCCGGCCGGCCTGCTCCGGAGGGAGGTCTGTGCTGGAGGCCTTGGCGTCCCCAGGGTGGGCTGTCCCCAGGGCGGCTGCTGGCCTCACAGTCTTGAGGCCTGGGGCCTGTAGGGCCTCTTTGGGCTTCTGGTTTCTTATTTTTTTTAAAAAAAGGCCTACCCCACCCACCCNCCCCAGGGCAGTTAGGAAAGCTGAAATTAGATAACAGGTGAAGCAGTTGCAAAAGTAAAAAGCCGGATATACCAGCAATGTGAGCGCCTCGCCTCCCAGCCACGTAGAGGGTCCTCAGCTCTGCAGACAAGAGTCAGGGTCAGAGACCCCCTCCCGACTCGCCGTGGGCGGGCCTGAGCTTTCCCAGAGGAAGCTCTCTATGATTTTTGTTTTCTGTTTATCCTGAAGCTAGAATTTATTGATTTTTTTTTTCACATTTTGTGGTAAAATATACATAACATAAAATTGACCATTTTAACCATTTGTTGAAGAAGAAAAAATCCTCCTGGTTGAGGTGGAAGGTGAGGACACGGATTAGTCTAGTTCCTCATTAATGCCCCTGGGAACCGCTCAGCGGTGGAGAAATGACGAGGTTGGCATGACAGTGTGGTCATTAGGCTCCCAGGAACTCCAGGCGAGGGGCAAAGGTAACGCTCGGGAGGGTGCGGCACTTCATGCAATGGCTGAACGCTGACAAGTGCAACTTTCCTGCTGTGGGGACAGTGGGGAAGGTGGGGACAAGGCATCCATGGGACAGGACTCTGGGGCTGGCTAGAGGTCCCAGAGCCGGGGGGGAGGGCAGGTCGTGAAGGAGGAGTTCCTTGCAGACACCGGAGTCCCTTCTGAGTGGACAGAGCACACCGGCTGTCCATGTGCTCTCTTCTAGAATCGTGGGTCCTAGTTTTTCTCCGATCGTTTTAGCTCCCCGTCCCCTGAGACCTGGTGAATTCTTTATAAGAGGAAAGGGAGGGGTCTCCCCAGAGGAGAGATTTCAGGTCTTCTCAAGTTGTTCAACCCACGCAGCTCTGCAGCTCCAGGGGCAGATGGAGGGCTTCCCGGAAGAGGGTGCCCAGACAGACGGGAGGCCAGGTGCTGGAACCTGAAAGCCAGTGTCCCTCCACGTTAGGGTGTGAGGGCCGTGCCCCTGAGGGCACAGGAAAGAAAGGTGCTGATCTGGAGGAAGACTCCCCGTCTCCACCGAAGGCCGCAGTCCTCCTGCTGAGCACCAGCAAGCTTCCAGCAACGCCTGGAGACTTTTCCTAAACTCAGGCCATCTAGGAGGTGCTGCCAGAAGTGCGCTGGAGAATTCTTCACACTCAGTCGGGTCTTCCGCGTGTGGTAGCCCGATGCTCTTTGAAAGGCCGCCCAGCCGGGGGACAGAGGGGCTGGCCGGGCACTGGGAGGTCAGCGGAGCGCCCGGTGAGGTGGGAGGTGGCAGCCCCGACATCCACACCCGGGAGCCCCGGCGAGGGCTTGGCCGGAAGCCCAGCAGCCCCGAGTCCCCAGGGCAGTGGCCCCCCACCCAGCGCAATCCAGACAGAGCTGAACTCAGCATAACCTGAACTTCGGTTCGCGGGGGTTTGTGGTATTTCACTTTGAAACTGTAGCTGGTGCTTTTGCTAAGGATGGGTGAACCAAGCGATGTTTGGGGTTTGGCAAATCCCTCTGACAGGTCTTCAGACACTAGAGGGTTGGAAAAAACCAGGAGGGTGCGCCGCCAAGCCCTTCCCCTCCCCTCTAACTTTTTAAAGCCATGTGTACTTTGATGAGAAACCTAATACATGTGTTTCTGATTCATTTACACGTTGGGGCTGTTGTTCTGAAACTTTTCGTCCAAAGGGCCTGGGAAGCTTCTTTCATCCCCACACCGGAGAGATGCCTGGTTTTCTTTTGGGGGAAGCCAGACGTCTCAGTTTTCCTGCCACACAGAGTTGGACTCCAGTGGGGCCTGAAGTTCTAGGTGGCCCTTAGACAAGTCCCCAGAGCCCCGAAAGGCTCTGGCCTGTGCACGTTGCCTTCCTACCCACCTCGAGCCCGGCTCCTTCCTGCCCTGGAGGAACACCATGGAAATGTGTACACCAAATAGTGAGTGATTCCAGGGAAATATGAGGCTCTCCGAGATTTATGACCCGAGCCCGCGCAGAACTCAACAGAAAGGGGCGTGAGTTAAGGACTGAGAGTGAGGTCAGGTTTCCCCGTTTCATTTGCAGCTAGTGTGTCGGGTCTGGCCTGGCAGGGCTGCAGGGCCCTGCCGTCCCGGGTCCCCGCTGACTGCTCACCGTGGCCTCACCTCCCCCGGAATCCCTTCTTGACCCCCTCTTTCATCTGTTCTTGAATATCTGTCACCAAGACGTCTGAGCCACCTCCTCTGAGGGCTTGGTTCCCAGTGCATTTGCCACATGCAATTTTCACCTGTGGACTGAGTGATCCGCATGCTAGTGACGATGCCGTCTTGGATGTGGACGGCCACTTTTCTTCAAAGAGCTGACGTGGGAAATTAATACGCCCGGAGCCTGAAGAGAATGAAGAGGGGTAACGTCACATAAGCCCCAGGAACGTGCTTCCATTGCTCTAGTGAGCTTACGCTTGACCTTCTAGTCCCAATATTTTCCGTGTTATACTCTTTCCTGGGGGTCCCAAACAGTCCACTGATGTGAGGCTTAAACATCTCCAGTTATTCCCTAACTCCCATCAGGAGGAATCCTGGGCCCAGCTGCGGTAACAGTACCCGGCGTGGAATGGGGAGGCTCAGGCTCACACGCGCACCGTGGCCAAGACGTGGAAACCACCCAGGCGTCCATCATCGGACGAGCAGATGAAGAAAAGGTGGTGCCCACACACAGAGGAGTATTATCCAGCCATAAACGGGAATGGCATTCGGACACACGATACAACGTGGCCGAACCTCGAAAACATCATGCTAAGCGAAGGAAGCCCGACGCAGAAGGACACATATCGTGTCATTTCCCGTAGATAAAACATCTAGAATAGAGAAAGTCAGAGAGAGAGGAAGCAGGACAGAGGTTGCCAAGAGCTGGAGGGGGGGGGGCACACGGGGACCTACTATTTAGTTTCTGTTTGGAGCGATGAGAAAGTTCTGGAAACGGAAGGGGGGTGATCAGATAGCACCGTGAGTGGAATTATGGCCACTGAACGGTACAGTTAAAAACGGTTAAAATGGTAGAGTTCATGTTATGCTTATTTACCACACTGCTTTTTTAAAAGGTTCCCACAAAAGTTCCCAGGGAGTGGGCTCTTTCTCGCCCGGGCAGCTTGCTCCCAGCGTCAGTACCTCAGGGTCCTCGGGTCAGCTTCCCCCGGAGAAGGGGTGAGGTCTGAGCCCCAGCCGGCCTCCCGGCCAGTGGTTTCAGGGCGCCCTGCCGGGCTGCAGTCAGGGCCCTCCCTCCCGAGAAAGCTCTTCCTCGCGCCCAGAGTCAGCGCCCCCCGCCCCAGCCGTTCAGCCCTGGGCTGGTCGGCGGGACCGCAGGGGCTGGAATGGAAGGCAGGGTGCAGCGCAGGCTAAACTCACGGAGCCCCCCCCCAGGGTGACCGAGCTGACCGGGTACGAGCCGCAGGACCTGATCGAGAAGACCCTCTACCACCACGTGCACGGCTGCGACGTGTTCCACCTTCGCTACGCGCACCACCTGCGTGAGTACGGCCGCCAGGGAGGGGCCCGGAGGGGGCGGGGGTCCCTCGTTCGGTGCCATAAGTGTCCATCGTGTACACGCGAATCTTAAAGCTCGGGTGTGAGTCCTCGCACCCCTGGATTTAAGCACAGCTGCTCGTGGTTGGTTCTCAGACACCCGGTGGAACTCAGGCAGGTGTGGGGATGGTACAGAAGGTGCTCGGTTCTAGATTGCGGATTTGGGACCTACGTTGCTCTGCGACATCTGACACCAGTTGCAAATAACAGTCACAGCGGTTAGAGAACCAATACGGATCCCTAACTGCGGCCAGGCAGTAGTTTCAGTGAGTAAACGTCTCATCAACCCAGTGAGACAGTCTCATGCTCGTGACTCTCCTTTCACTGCTGAGGATGCTGAGGTTCAGAGAGGTTAAGCCAGTTGCCCACAGTCACACAGCAGGGAGGTGGCAGAGCTGGGAGCTGAACCCTAGCAGCGACCAGCCTCTGACTGCTGTCCACCATCTGGCTGGTGAAGCTCAGGGGAGACCACAGGCTGTAGGGTGGGAGAAATCCGCGTGGAAAAGGTGAACAAACAGTATTTGATTAGCCAACAGAGGCAGGTTAGGGACCATTTGGACTGGGGGTGCTCCCGTCACTGAAATGCCTAAAGAAGCCACACTTCTGGCACCCAAACTGAGGCAGCAAATCACGGAGGTGGAGTAGACACCTCACTCTCGCCGTCCAGCCCACAGTGCCCGTGGCCGGCCTGGGGTTCACGGGGTGCGCAGGGTTGGAGGAGCCAGACCTTCGGCAAGGAGCCCGGATGGCACGTCCTCCGCTCCTGCTTTGCCCTGTGCTAAGCGGTGTCAGAGGACAGGTTGCCGGTGTGGCAGGTGGAAGGCAGGTCCGGGGGCCGCTCCACCTGCGGCGGCGCCGTCTGGCCCATTTCGTGTGGCCTGGGACCCAGGGAGGGTGGCAGTTGCTGCGGTGTCATTGTTCTTCCTCCCAAGACATGGCAGGCAGAGACCTGTGACACCCAAGACATTCCTGCTCAGGAGTGGACGGCTTCCTGCGTGGAAGGGTCTCGGTGCACAGGAGACTCGCAGTCACAAACAGCCTTTTTATGTCTTTTTTAAAAATTACCTAACCACGACCTCACGTGAGCGTCCCTGTCATTCTCGAAACCGAGCTTCCCGGGGAGGCGGCTGCCGAGTGCTAGGGTGGGATTGGCCGGTTGGAGTCCGTGGCTATGAGCGAGAGAGACCCTTTTCTTGTACAGACTGGGCAGAAGTGTCTGTTACAGAATCAGATCTTGGGGAGACTGGAATGGGAGGCGAAAAGGGGGGTATACGCTCTGAGTAATGAGGGCAATTGAGAGGTGTGTGACCCAGCAACGTGCACCCCAGAACGGTCTGGAAGGGAGGGCAGGCTGGGAAAAGGAGAGAAACGTGCGTGTTCACAGCTCCACGAGTCCCCCAGGCCCCCGGGGGGGACAGTCCCCACCACTGTTGGGGAGGAAAGAGCAGCAGCAGCTCTGAGGGAGAGCCCCAGCCCTGGGGGCTCCAAGCCCCCTTCCGCTGAAGCAGGAGCATGTTGGGGAGCAGCTGATATTCTGCAGGCGAGTTGAAAGCAAATCCCTGAATTACACAAAAGAATTGTTGTTTTCAAAGCAGGGCGCTGCTTGCAGAAAGAAAACTTATGGAATTAAAAGTCTGCTTTAAATACCATTTTTTTTTACCTCTCACAGTGCCTGGCTAGCAGAGGGGAACAGGGGAAAGAAATACAATGTGTGTTTTTGGAAAGGTAATGAGGCCACAGTGCTGATACAGTGCAGGGCTCCTGTGTCCCCAACACACAGACTGGGTGCTATTCCTTGATTGTGAGCTTGGGGCCGTGCAGGGAGCTGGGCTGCCTTGTGTCCATTTCCCAGGTGAGCAAGGCGAGCCTCGAGGCGAGAGGCCTGTAGCTGAGCCGGGCGGGGCAGGGGCCCGGGCCACGTGGCTCTCAAGCCTCCAGCCAGTCGCAGCGCCTGGCGGGTCTTAGCCTCAGCGACCTGGGCTGGTCTCTGTCCCCAGGAACCCCAGGCTTCCCGAGCCCATCTGGCTTAGCAGACCGACAAGGGGCTTTTAGTTGGAGGCCTCCTGAGACGCACAGGACAGATTCGCTCTGCCTCCCTCGGAATTTGGGATCTGCAGACAGGGCGACGATCTGAAGGAACCTGGAGGGGAGGCGAGTGCGGGCTTCCAAGGAACACACAGAAAAGGCAGAGTGTTCAGAACCCAGAGGGAGCGCGGAGTCTCTGCCAAATGGGCTAGAATTGGTAAATCAGAGGAGTCAGGAAATAGCGTTTCTGACAATGATTGCTACTGTGCTGTGACTCGGACCTTGACCGCAGCCAGGAAACCGCTGCGGAGACCGGAGGCACAGAGCCCACCCCAGCCAGGCCACGGGGAGGCGGGCGTGCCCTCGGGATCCACCGTGAGCCTAGCCCGAGTCTGCCTCAGTCTCCCCTCTGCCAGCTTTTCCAGATACAACGGGAGGAGAGTCACAGGAAAGCAGGCAGGCGCTGGCCCACGCAGGGGTGGGGATCAGGCTCCCAGAGCTCGCGCCTTGGCCCCAGCATTGGTTGGGATCATCTTTGACGTCCCCCTCAGGGCAACCAGCAGCTGTGACATTAACCTGGGTGTTTGTTCCCCTCCAAAGCTGGAACATTTAGATGAAGAGAGGAAAGATAGTCAACCACCCAGGCATGGTTTTGGCGGCAGGGTCTTCAGGAGGTGGGGCTTGGGCAGTTTTGAAGCCTGTCTGTGGTGTGGTACCTGAGGCCTCACTCCCCTCCCCAGACACAGAGCAGGGCCCAGAGGGGCCAACTCCAGAGGCTGACGCTGAGCCTGGAGCTCAGGTGCAGTGGTTTCTCTGGGCCATGCCTGAAACACGGGCAGGGAGCGAGAGGTGAGCCGGGGACAGGAAGGAGCCATTCGATGGGTGCTGGCCACTGGCCACTGCCGTGGGCACCTGCTCCCAATCTCCCTGGGAGCATGAGCCGAGGTATCCGCAGTGCTCCTGCGTCACCGGCTGAGGGCTGCTCTGGGGTGTGATTCTCGGCTGTGCTCCCTCTGGGGGCTTTGGGGGTGAATCTTTCATTGTCTCCTCCAATTGCTGGTGTTGGCCGGCACTCCTTGACTTGTGGCCACATGCTCGCTCAGATCTCTACCTGTCTCCCTCTGTGTGTTGGCATTTCTTCCTCCGTCTCTTCTAGGATTTAGGGCTGACCCTAATCCAGGATAATCTCATCTTCAGATCCTTAATCACATCTGCAAAGACCCTTTTCCCAAATATGGTCACATTCATGGGTTCTGGGGGTTAGGATGTAGAACATATCTTTGGGGGGGGGCACTAGTCAGCCCATGACAGGCGTTTTTGGTGTCCTCAGCTCCTGAAGTTCAAAACAAAAGTAGAAATTATGCTTCAGGTGACAGTTACTTTCCTCCCAGAGGCTGGCTCCTAGCCTGGCTATGCCTCCAGGAAGGATTCTGGAGGAACCAGGAAGGCTCCCTGGCATATTTATGGAACTAGAGTTTCCATCCCAAAGTGGCCTCAGAAAACCATGACCATGGGCTTTCATCTACGCTTGGGCCCCCTGATTTCAGAACCGCCTCAGACTGTGATGTTGGGGATACAGCGCAGAGGTGCCAAGTCAGGGCCTGTGCCCTCGGGAGCTTACGGTGCAGGGGACATCTCCTCCCTGCATCGTCCGTCACGACCATCAGCAGGACCTATTCTAGATCGCTCTAGCCCGGGATCATTTCAGGCAGCTAATCAAGGACGCCAGACGGCATGGCAGCTAGAGCAAACAGAAGAATGTTGTGACTAAATGTCTGGGATTTCTGCTTGGACTGCTATGCTGACTATCACCATGGGTCACAGAAAGCAGAAGAAAAAAAAAAAATCCTGTGTCTAAGTTTGGCCTCATCATAGCAGAGTCAGGGAGGGTCAGAGATGATAAAATCTGTGCAACTTCTGCCATTTGGATCCTAATATGAAACACTTGGAATAAACTGACTTCATTATGTCCAGCTTTAAGGTGATTCCAGACAGGTTTTGGGAATGTTGCATAAAATACCAGGAAGAGTAAAGTACGAGATAAGAAACAGGGGAAGTGCACGGTCATACTCCTGGGGGCTTGACAGACACTGCCGAGAACAGATTTTAAAGTTGGCGCGATGAGCATTTCTCTTGAAGGAAGCAGGGCTTCTTGGGAAATCCACAGACGGGACCTCAGTTTGATCATGTGCCGTCTCTTTTGGTGTCATAAGCAAACTGGTTAATGAAGTCTCCCCTAATTGGCCTACCCCACCCCCATATGAACCTTCTGGAGGCCACTGTCCCCTCCTCCCACAGCGGCCACTCGGAGAATCGGCAGTCAGACGCCTGGCCCAAGATCAGAGTCGGGTGGGGGGTGCACACACTTCTGTGTCACTAGATTTTCCTCAGTTCCGAATCTTGTCTTTCCTCCACTTACCACTATGCAGTACACCTTCCCCATGAGGCCACAAATTCTTATTAACCACCAGTTAACGGCGGGGTGTACTCCACAGTTTACTTACCGTCTTCCCAACTGTTAAACCGTTAGGCCTCCCCTCCTTTTTTCCCTGAATTAGAAGCAGGACCACAGTGGAGCTCTTTGGGCTCGAGTCTTTGTGCACGACTCACGATTCCCGCAAGATCGGTTCCCAGACGTGAAATCGGGGTATCTGTTCTCCAGAAGGAACCAGCTTTCCCGAAGGCCCGCACCAGCCCACGCCCGTCGGCGCATGACAGTGCCTCCCCCCCGCCCCCCACC